AATTGGTCTAAGATAAAAAGGAAAAATCATCCGTAGATTTTGCTTAAACGTTTAAAAAAAATGAAAATATTACCCAAAAAGTAGTGCAAGTCACGAAAATCAGCCTTCAATATGTATATCATCACCTTATTCCACCAACAACATAAACCTTAGGATGCGAGAAAAATAGCTAAACATTAGTTAACTGCAGCTGGATCACCGGGTTTCGCTGAAAGTGCATGAATTACACACATGCTATACTGATAATATTGTTTATGCGTGTTGTGACACATATCAGCACAGCATGTGCACTCCAGACACCCACACCAAACCCATGTGGCTGGCGAGAGAAAAACAAATGTAATCATAAATGAACGTTTGTTTGTTTGTTTGGAATTTAACGTCATTACAACCAGTGTCATGTGAGGACGGGTATAGATTATATACCAGTGATACCATACATGATAATATTAAAACTGCCCTGACCAGGTGAACCCTGATGTCGACTGTGTCTCGTTATCAGTGACATCTGCCATTATAAATGCACTTGTTGGATAATTATGAATCATGTATTTATGTTAACCAGTGGCGGTATTCAATGAGAGATAGGAGAGGGGTACCTGATATTTCCCCTGCTCGCACTCCCGTTTTTAGAGAGGAACTTTACAAAACACACTAAAACTTTGGAAAATTTACCAAACGAAACATAGACAAAAAATGTATGTAAAATTCGATCACATCACAGTAATCATATATATGAAATGTGTCAATATTATTCGCCCCCGAAATCACTCACACCCTTGTCACTCACCTCAATGCCTTACTTGGTATCTATTACATGTACATGTAACCATATGCATTTAGTTTATATAACCCGCTATAGCCCATTTCCAGCCTTTCCTCTTACAGAAAGTCATATATCCACCTGTGACAACAATGTGTCTGGTTCTGGTGAACAGAAATAAGCGGGGCGTCTAATTACCCAATACTACCCAATACCACCCAATACTACCCAATACCACCCAATACTACCCAATACCACCCAATACGACCCAGTTATTAACCAAATACTTCTTTATTACTGTGAAATATCACCTTTGTAGACGTTATGTACTTCCATCTGCCATAGTTTATCGGGAAATATGCGATTTGGTGCCGAAAACATTACCGAATTGCCGTGACTATGACCCAATACTACCCCATACCACCCAATACCACCCAATACGACCCAGTTGTGAACCAAATACTTCTTTATTACTGTGAAATATCACATTTCTTGAAGTTATTTACTTCTATATGTCACATCCTATCTGGAAATATGCGATTTGGTGCAGAAAACATCACCGAAATGCCGTGACTAGGGGTTCGACGGTTTACAGGAACGGGCAGGAACGGGCAGAAACCTATTAATTATTATATATACATTAATGAATATATATATTAGATACATTTAAGTATCATTATCGGGTATAAGATATATTGCAATTAATTGATACTATATTAATTCTATTCATGTCATAAAATGGTGTTATTAAGATAATATATATAACTTTAACAGGAAATATTTAGAAAATTTGAAATTACTTTTCAAAAATGTTAGTTATTCAATTTTGTTAAACATAACAGTATCAATTATATAACAATGCTGGAGAAGAACCTTCAGTTAAATTTAATATAATAATGTCTTCCGTGGAATTACAAATTCCACTTGCAAACCACTTATATAATATGTACAGAAGACGTAGCAGTCTATGTGATTAGTTATAATTCTAAACAGTGGCGTGTAAGCCATTTTAGGCTAAATATCATATACAATTACATTTTCTATTTCATGCATTTGTTAAATATGATACCAGGTGTCAATCAGTAACATTTTTTTATGAAAAGAAATCTTCCGTTTAAATTATAATTAGCTACTAGTTAGTGTGAATTTAGCAGACCCCGCTGGTAGGGGGCTCCCCAACCTTTGGAAACCTAAATTTCACTACAATGTAGAACTAGGAAATTATTCATTTTATTTATCACCATTGTTATTGGTGTTTTTTAAAGACATCATGTTTTAAGGCAGTAAATGTAAAAGAACCCTTTTAACTATTATAGTATTTAATATGTAAGGACAAAATCCAGGAGTGTGTTAGGTAGGGGCTGTCCCAATCACCTGCTCTCTGGATTGGCACATGTGATAGTTTGTTTTAATTTATTGATTTATTATGTATAATAGCTGTTCTTAACAAAATTATGATATGGTCAATATCTTTTTACATTAAGATGATTGATCCCTGTTATGTAATTATATGTTTTATACTATGTAACTATATACTTGCACGATGTAATTGTGATATATGACACTATAATAAACAAAATTGACTTGACTTGACTTGACTATATATATATACAATGTATATTGGTTATAATTAAATGCAATGACGACGAAAACGGAGATAAATTTTGAATAGAATTGGCAAATAGAGGATTTTCCCCAAAATTACTTATAGTCAACTAAATTAGAACAAATGTTTAAATAATTTCATTATGCAATGAACGTTATAAACGTATTGACGTACATGAACATTCTACGGATTTGTTTTAGTTATAACAACTATCGATATAATATGTATAAATATAGATTTGTTCCAATATATACTAAAGATACATGGTTGTGAAAAGTAAATCTACTCTTACTAAATACTCGTCGAATTTGTTTAAACAAATTTAAGTCTTTAAAAACATCAAGTTATATGAATGCATAACCACGGACTTTATCCAATTCCGTGTACAATATCTAATTTTAAACATAAACTTAGTCCCGTGCAATTGAATAGATTCTTGATATATGAAATCCATTTAAAATCAGCGAAATCATTTTCATGTAAATTTAGCATCAGCTTGTACATTATACTAGACAATTTATTTTCACCTGTAATTAGTTTATACCAAAACATTATCATTCAAGTTTTAATTTCAATATTCAGAGGGTGCCTACCCGTTTCACCATATACCATTCTATTTGCTGTGGAGATACCTATGTTTAAAATTCTTTTACAAAACTGTAAATGTAATTTTTCAATCATATTGGTATTTTCAAACACACAAATTTCTGAGGAGGATTGGGGATATTAATACATCAAACAATTTTAATTGTAGGTCAATTGGTAAAATAATATTTCTTATTTTTTATATAAAATGCATACATTGCTTTTTGAGCCTGTTCAACAGGTTTGTTTTTCTTGCTTTACAGAAACTGACATTATAATGAAACAGCAGTCCTAGAAACGAGTAGCTGTCATGTGTTTGCAACTCTTCACCAAAAAGAGTAAAACGAATATTTTGTGCAATTACTTTTACTTTTTTCAAAGATAACAACTCTAGTTTTATTGAGATTAACTTTAAGTTTCCAAATAGTACAGTAAGTTTTAAATTCACGGAAAGCATTCTGTAGACCTTTAGCTGTTTCTGACATAACAACTGTGTCATCTGCATATAGCAGAATAAATAATTTAACAAATATACCCATGCGTTCTTGAAATAAATTATCAATAAACAGGAGTTGGTCAACATTACTTTGCATGAAAAATTCTTCTAAATCATTTAAATATATTGAGAACAAAAACGGGGAGAGATTTTCACCTTGTTTTACCCCGACGTGACATGTGAAAAAATCAGTCATACCATTGCTAGTTTTAACGCAAGGTTTAGTGTTTGCATACAGATTAATTATAGCATTGAATATCTTTCCTGTGATATTATTCTTTAATAATTTCTTCCATAAACCTACCCTCCAAACAGTATCAAAAGCTTTTCTGAAATCAATGAATGAACAGAATAGCGTTTTACTTTTTGAAAAGTATATAGATATTAAAGCATGAAGGATAAATATATTTTCAGTTGTAGAATAGCCTTTCCCAAAACCAGTTTGCACAATGGAACAAGAAGTCTATTGTCTACTATTACGGAATTAGATAATCAGTTTTGACCACATCGGCCTTTGAAAAAAATTGAAACTTAAAAGCGTTTAACCGTGTTTCTTTCTTCTTTACATATACAATTAATATACAGTATTGTTTTTTCTAAAACATATAAGGCCTAACAATCCAACATATGGACTTCAATATTTATTTACGTAAAACACGTATTTCAATTAACTTATATTTACATATAGAATAATATTTAATTTTCAGATTGATGTCCTTTTTTGAGTTGGAAAATTGCGTATTTTCTTTTTTTTAAAGATCGTAGACGTGATGGGATTGTAATCTACACATTAACACCAATTAATTCACTCAAAATATATTCATGCTATTTATTAAGAGTTGAGTATAAGTTATCAAGTTATTAAAATTTGGTTATCATAATGTCATTTCCAATGTTTCAGGTGTTATGACATCGCAATAACAATGTCATATATATAAATGAGAAAATAACCAAGATACATATGTATTATATATGTAATATATAATTCTCTGAACAACCCTTTTTTATAGAATAAAACAGAGACATATATTGGAACCTCGGCCTGGCAATTTATATATTTATATATATATTTAGTCCGATCCTGCCCCGTTCCTGTAATTGCAATTCTTTTATCAAATATACCTTATACCCGATAAGGATAATTAAATATATACAATAAATATATATAAATAAGTCCGATCCTGCCCCCTTTCTGTCCGTTCCTGTAAGTCGTTGCCCGTTCTTGCCCGATCCATATCAATACAATACTTTTAATTCGTTGCAATCTTTTTATCAAATGAGGTATCTTGTACCCGATAAAAAAGATATCATAATATAAATATATATATATATATATAATTTAGTATTGGGTAGTATTGGGTGGAATTGGGTAATATTGGGTAATTAGACGCGCCCGAAATAAGACCCTTACATTTTGTGATATACTGCAATGATTATTCAACGTTGTTCGGTGCCGAACACAAAAAGACGACAAACGTGTCAATATACAATTGTGCAAAATGTTATTTTTAAAAACTATCGTAACTCAGTGATCATTTGTATAAACCTACCTTCACTCCCTTCGCTAATAAACCGGTCGCGAGGGTTTTACCTATGCCTCTGGCTGCACCTGTAATGATGGCAACTTTGTTGGCTAAATCCATATTTAAGAGTAATGATTTTGTTTTGGTAATGTCGATGTATTTACCAGTAAACACGATACGACGATATGATCAGCATCAGAGTCGTATATATACATAGATCATCGATGACGTCACGCATATCCCACGTGTTCCTCGGTCAGACGATTTACAAAAATAAAATATACACCTAACTTAGACAGAAATAATATATGTAACAAAGTTAAAATAAATATATCTAACCTAGACAGAAAGTATATGTTTATATCTATCCTAGACAGAAAATAAATAATACAACTAACTTAATTAAGACAGAAATAATATATTTAACAAAGTTAAAATAAATCTATCTAACCTTGGCAGAAATTATATAAATATTTATTATATAATATAAGGCTTCTGCAGTGCAATAAAGGGGTGCAATAAAATTGATATTGAACGTGTACAATAAAGATGCAAATGAGCGCGCGACACCGTGGGAACTAGGTCGTATTCCTACGCACTACTACTACTACTACTATAGTATAGGCCTACTACAACATGGCTGACGTAAACATTGGGGATTCTGTTCGAATTGACGGCAACGGTAGGGGCACAGTACAAGAACTTGTTCCAATGGGATTTGCAACATTTTATAGAGTTTTAATCGAGGGAAGTGATATTGAGGTTGACTTGCCAGGTGATCGGTTAGAGCCAATACCCCAGACTATGACTCAGTCGTCCTCGCTACCACAAAAGCAGACGACACCCAACCAAACTCAAAGGTTTGTTCCGGTCCAACAAACGGAAATTGGGTCATTCATTGAACAACAATCAAATAAGAACACTCTACTGAAAACGTGGAATGACATGAAAGTATTGAAAGCCTTTTTCGAAACTCCAGAAATCAACGAATCCCGAAGTATTCAAAACATACCCCCTCCCGAATTATCTCCGTTGCTTTCCCAATTTTTCATGAGTGTCCGAAAAGTGGACGGTTCTGAATATGAACCAAACAGTCTCAGATCTATGATGTCAAGCTTTGATCGCCAGCTACGCCGATTTAATTATGGTCATGCTATTATTACTAGTCCCCTGTTTGCCCAGGTTAGAGAAGTGTTGAAAAGTAAACAAAAACAGTTAAAACGCGATGGAAAAGGTAACCTTGACAACCGTAGTGATGCTATCAGCGACGAGGAGATCGACGTTTTGTGGAGAAAAGGTCAATTTGGAACTCAAAACCCTGACGCTATTTTACAGACACTTTGGTTTTTCAATACAGTACATTTTGGTTTACGGGGATCAGCGGAGCATCGCGATATGTGCTGGGGGGACGTTACACTACAAAACCACACTGACGGACATGAATATCTAGAGTTTACGGAAAGACAAACAAAAACCAGGACAGGGGAGAACACCCGTGATGTACGCAAAGTAAAACCAAAATTGTGGGCAAACACTGAAAATCCCGAAAGGTGTCCTGTTCATGTTTACAAATGCTATGCAGATATGAGACCTACGACTTACTGTAAAGGATCAGATCCATTTTATATAGCTACTACAACAAAAAGCTCACCTGGAAGTCATGAGACTTGGTTCAAGCGCCAACCCGTTGGTATCAACAAGCTAAAATCCATGATGCAACGTGCCATAAAGGGAGCAGGAATCCAAACTGACAAACACTTGTCAAATCACAGTGCGAGGAAATATCTTGTCCAGAAATTGAACGATAATAACATCCCCGCTAACCATATAATGCAAATTTCTGGTCACCGAAACATTTCTTCTATTAATAATTATTCACACATCAACACGAATCAACACAAAGAAATCTCCAAAATACTGCACGGAAATCCAACAGCACCTGAGACCGGATGCAACACAACATCACTGACACAACAATCAATGGCGTGTAACCAGTCAACTTCCTCTGTTGTCAGGGTCCAGGGCGGTTTCCAAAGTATCTTTTCAGGTGCTGTCACAGGAGGAAACATACAAGTTCATGTTTACCAAGGACCTCCTCTGAAAAAACGCGCCCGTGTTATAGAAAGTGACAGTGATTCTCAGTAGGCCTAATATCCAACACATGTGTTTTCGGTTTCCGACGACCTTCACAGTGCGCGCGCTCTTACACTGTTCATGACGTCACCGATGAAAAAAAACAGTTTTTTTCCGAAGCGAAAAAAAAGAAGTCATATTTTGTAAACTTTTATTATTTCAATTGTTATCACAATTAAAATGATCGTTAAAAGTAAAACTGTTGGCCATTTATTATTCTGATAAAATTCTGCGGACTACTTTTGTTAGCGGAACATGCTCTCAAATTAGTATATGTGATGCGTCCTTTCTCGTCGTCATTGCATATAGAGACGTTAGTATTGAAACCACTTATGTAGGTAGGTTTCTCGAATTATATAATAAATAGAATCTAACACTCGTGTTCATGTTATATTGAATTTATTGAACTCGTATATTAATTTCATATGAAATTAATATACTCGTTCAATAAATTCAATATAACATGAACACTCGTGCTAGATCCTCTATATATAACCTGGACAGAAATATATAACTAACTTTAATTATATGAATGTATCTAAGCTAGACAGAAATTATAGGTATACATCTAACCTAGACAGAAATATATAATACAACTAACTTAAATAAGACAGAAATGAAACACACGACTAACCTACACGGAAATAAAATATACACCTAACCTGGAGAGAAATAATATATGTAACAAAGTAAAAATAAATATATCTATCCTAGACAGAAAATAAATAATACAACTAACTTAAATGAGACAGAAATGAAATACACGACTAACCTAGACAGAAATACAATATACAACTAACTTAAATAAGACAGAAATGAAATACACGACTATCCTACACGGAAATAAAATATACAACCACGGAATTAGATTATCTAAGTCCGTGATACAACTAACTTGGACAGAAATGATATATATAACAAACTTATAAGACAGACGTGAAATCTCCGACTAATCCTAGGAAGAATCTTAAACGGACAGAAACGGACAGAGATTTTATAAAATAATATATATATATATGGGTATATATATATTAGATATATCAAATTATGATTATGGGGTACAAGATATATGTGATAAAAGGATTGCAATTACATGATCGGTGCAGAATCGGACTTAATTATATAAAATTATGTCCTTATTACTTATGAATTTACGGTATTATACTTTTTCCGGGTATAAGATATAGATATTAGATATATTTAAGTATCATTATCGAGTATAAGGTATATTTGATAAAAGGATTGCAACAAATTAAGAGTATTGTATTGATATGGATAGGGCAGGAACGGGCGACGATTTACAGGAACGGACAGAAACGGGGCAGGATCGGACTAAATTATATATATATATATATATATATATATATATATTTATATTCTTATATCTTTTTAATCCGGTATAAGATATGTATATTAGATATATTTAAGTATCATTATCGGGTATAAGATATATTTGATAAAAGGATTGCAACGAATTAAAAGTATTGTATTGATATCGATCGGGCAGGAACGGGCGACGATTTACAGGAACGGGCAGAAACGGGCAGAAACGGACAGAGATTTTATAAAATAATATATATATATGGGATAATAAATAAATAAGTCCTTGCGAAGGAAAATATAGAATAAAAACAAAATTTTCAGATCGTCCGCTAGGCCTTTCTGCCAGAAATCCGCCTGAAGAAGCCCTAGAAGGCAGAAAGGCCTAGCGGACGATCTGAAAATTTTGTTTTTATTCTACATATATGGGTATATATATATATTAGATATATCAAATTAACTGTATCGGGTACAAGATATATGTGATAAAAACACTGCAGTTACATGATCGGTGCAGAATTGGACTTTATTATATAAAATTATGTCCTTATTACTTATGAATTTACGGTATTATACTTGCATGCAATCATAAACCGGAAAAGTATCTTATAATTACTTCAATCTCAACAAAACATTATTTCATTATAATTTATTTGAAAGCCATCTGCTACGATGATACATTGTGTATACTGTTGTTATATTATAACTAGGTATCAACAAAGTATCACCGCATTGCCCAGGTCTCGGGATCGTGGACCCTGCTTTCATGGAGACCCATTTTTTTGTATTTTTTTGTATTTTTTGTATTTTTTGGTTTTGTTTTGTTGGGAATGGGGGGTGTTCACTATATGTATCTCATTAAGATCCTCCTCACATGATGGAAATATTTCATCTGTCCTTTCTCGGTAAAATGAACTAAGTCTTTGTTGTAGTTTGCTGGGTATCAAATGTCTAACTTCACGAAACATGTGTTGAAAAACGTCTGTAGCTTCTTGTTAACTCCCGCCCGCTGCCGCTTAAAATGTTCAAATGTTAAATTTCAACGAAATTTCCATCTCGTTACGATAGATTGTACAAGAACCGTCCGCACACCAGAGGCCTAGATTGCATCCACCACAGACTTGATGTCATGTGCTATATTCGCCGGACAGGAATCACCCCGAATGTCATTCCCTCCCAGACAAACATACACAATGTCAGCATCAAACGCTATCAAATCCTCGAAACACAGACGAAATCTCGGAACAGAGAACACTTTGTCTGCACTCATCCCACCTACACCAAAAAATCTAACTGTACCGGGAAAATCCATAATGCCACCGCAGAATCTACCAAGTCTTGCAATATAGCTACTGCCGAACAAAGCAATCTTCGTCATGGTTAATGTTAAGTTTATATGTGTTGTCTACTGCTATCAGAAAATGATAATTGAATGAAGCGATGAACGGATCATATATACCTAATCTTAGCTTATTTGTTTTTTTCATCCGCGCATAGTTAGTTCATGTTCAAGTTCTTTATTACTTTAAGTCGGTTGACTTATCAGTTATAACATGTATACAAAACAATACAGAGACAACAAACAATATGATACACACACACATACACACACGCCTACCCGGTTTGCTGTAGTTGTGAACCACAAACTCCAAACCAACGTTATGGCACATGCTTTATTAATGGGCGGAGTTCGTAAAACTGTGATATTATAAAGAGGTAATGTCTACTGCAACATATGAACTCAATGCATTTGTTCATAAAATCAATTCTGAAGGAGATATATCAACCGTTGTTGTGGACACCAACATAGAGTTGTGGACACGGTGTCCATAGTCACTGTGAAGTCTTGTCACACGCCAAGCACATGATACTGGGAGCCTGAAGTTGGTTCCTAGTTCCTAGTTCCTAGTAACGTTTAAGATAAACGGAACTAGGAACCAGACCCTAGTTCCGTTTAAGGTAAACGGAACTAGGAACCAGACCCTACTTCCGTTTAAGGTAAACGGAACTAGGAACCAGACCCTAGTTCCGTTTAAGGTAAACGGAACTAGGAACCAGACCCTACTTCCGTTTAAGGTAAACGGAACTAGGAACCAGACCATAGTTCCGTTTAACATAAACATAAATATTACCTCTAAAATTAACCTATAAAGTAAGCGACATCAGAAGATGTTATTCTACAGGGGCTTGGTTTCAGGATACTTTCGGTTAGTATTTTCCGGATACTTTCGTTAGTAATAAACCTATACACACCAGTAAATAACAGCAACATTTTTTTTATCGAATCCGGTGTTTATACACATTCGAAAACCTTATAAAAATTGAGGGTATAAAAAAAACCTCAGTACCCTAATTTTTTATAAGGTTTTAGAATGTGTATAAACACCGGATAAAAAGTGTTGCTGTTATTTATTGGTGTGTATAGGTTTATTACTAACCGAAAGTATCCCGAAACCGAGCCCCCCGTGTGTTATTCATGTGACTATGATACACCTATTTGTACCAAACTTCAGCTAGATATTTGAAAAATTGACCGAGTTATGATAAATTGAATTTTTATGACCGGTGGCGTGGCACACGTGTGTAAAGAAATCTACTGATCGGGAAGCGTCTTCAAACTATATCTCTAAAATTAATCTAAAACGTAATCGACATCAGACGATATGTTTTTGTTATTCAAATGACTATAACACACTTAATTGGATGCACAAAACCAATACATCAAAAAGTTAAAAGCTTTTAAGGGTGTATCAGTTATGAAATTACTCAAGACAATTTTTCATTAATGATTTTAGCTTCTGAAAACAAATCTGACGTGTTCACAGCTGCAAGGGTTTTAAATTACCTCCAATACAATACAGTCAGAACCTGCCATACTACATATTATATGATTTTGTAAATTATACACTTAACTTTCACAGCTCGATGCGTAAGGCTATGAATGCAAATAGCATATTAAAGCAGTGCGCGTCCTTGAAGTTGTTTACAAACTAACAACTCAAATATGTAAACACCTCACAAACTTGATATTTAAAAAAAAAAAAAATCTTGACTGGACTTGATCTCTGAGGAAGTGTTACGTCAAAAGTCTAATGTAGGGGTTTGTGACCAGGTATCTCAATGGTCTATGATAAGTGTTTGTAAACAGGTATCTTAGTGGTCTATAGTGAGAGTTTGTAACCAGGTATCTCAATGGTCTATAGTAAGTTTTCGTGTCTGCCATGAAAGACATATTTGTTAATGAGGACAGCCTTTTCGCATCTTTTGCAAGAGATTGTTGTATTTATGCTGAAAAAGTATCCCTTCTTACGTTTAATTAACGACGATAGTCTGCCTGACATGTAAATCATATGCATTCGTATTATATCTGGTTCATCCTGGCAATTTGACAGTCCTGTCGTTACATACATGTTCCCTTGCTGTTTGATATAGTCCTGTGTATGTCTTAAAAATCACATTCATGAGAGGGCGATATTTGTATAATTGTGACCAGGTATCTCAGTAGTTTATAGTATAATTAGAGTTTGTGACCATGCAGATCAATGATCTATAGGTAGAGTTTGTGACCAGGTATAACAATGGTCTATAGCTAGTGTTTGTGACCACATATCTGAATGGATTATACATGTGATTGAAAATTGACTAAAATGTTACATGTAATCAGTTAATCAATTTTTTATTTTAATAATATT